ACTATGTTCCTTGCCCCAGGAAGACTACGAAGTCAGTGATTTTAAATAACGTATTTCTCAAAAGAATTGCTCCAGTTGAAGAGGTGGAAACAAACTAAGTCKACCTCGACATCAGTTTCCCACTGATTTTCTACGTGGAGAGAATTAAGGAATGAAAGCTCGAAGAAACGCTCTAAAAAGAAGGATCAAGACGCGGGAGAAACTCACGCGTATAGCAAGGAATTCTTAGATTCGAGTTTGCTAAGCTATTTTGTTTTTCTTTAGTCTTTCCACTGTTAATTGTTTTGTTGACTTTCCTTTAAAAATCGTTCCAAATCGTTCTGAAAGTAACAATTAAGTTTCTTTCCTGTAATTAGTGTTTGAGTCATGTATGCCATTTTCTACAGTGTTGTGGGCCGTCAGTCACATCGTACTCGTGCTCGTAATTCTTTGACATCCAATTCTCCCTTGTCGTTCTCCAATTCTCCCTTCTTTCCCTAGCATTTCTTCGAACTTTCATTCGTACACGTTAATGTTTATAATCTCGAATATTTCGATAACCATCTTTCTGCATTCCTTTGAGATCACGGAATTAAATTTCTCCAGTAAAGTTGTAAAAAAAAACTGAACCCTTTATTGATTTTTGACATGAAGAAACTTTCACCTTATTACATCATTTAGCAGTGCTGTAGCACTAACCTGTTATTATTTTAATGGCCTTTTTGATATTATTACCTTTACAAAGTTTATCTAGACTATATATTTTCATATATTCCCTTTCTTCCCCTCGCTTCTAACGGTTAGGCCTTTTGTCATTATTCCCCACAATAACGAAGCCGAGCATGGAAAGGTATTGATTTTAGTTTATAAACATAGAAAGAACCACAATTCCGAACTTTTATATAAGTATAACTGGAACAGCAGTTGCTGTAGCAACTGAAGCATGCTTTGCGAGTCACTGCTCTCTCTGCTTGGGACGGATGAGCACCATCCAAATGCCCTAGACAAGCAGTATTGCATTTGTTCATTGTCAAACAGTTGCTGAGCATTCGTTTGCCTGCTTTGCCATCAAATCTGTACCATCCGTGAAGGTGAGCGTCATTTAGAACACCCCCGCCATAAGAATAGTGTCGAGTAGGATCGGACAAGGTCTTATGATTTTGAGGGCGACACTAAATGTTATTTTTCTGCATTTACTTAAACTTAGAAGTACTTAATTGCATGACATTAAGGGCATTGGTCTTTCTCCCTTAATACATTCTTAAAAGTAAGCAATTTTAATGTTTCTGCAAAGTTGACAACTCGAGACGTGACACGACATTTTTTGCGGCTTCGGATCATTCTAGAGATCTTGCAGTTGATCGGTGTAACGATTACATAGCAAATATTAAATATAAACTAAATAATATTATTGGGAAAGACGTCTGACTTTATCTTACTGTTTTTAAGATTTGTACATACGATTGCATACAAAAATTACTTAAACCAAAATAAACAAATAATCAAAAATAGGTCAATATACTTCAATGGATCTGGTATACTTGGTTGCCTGTGACAAAACAGTTATAAAACGCGTTGATTTTTTCTGTCTTAAGCTCGACAAAATGCAAAAATGGCGCAATACTTCCATTATAAGGATTAGATGACGTGTCGATAGATTCATGTGCGATTTCACATGCAGGCTATCGTGGAATCGAATGTGCATATTCTTTGAGAATATGTGGCCAAAAAATTATATCTTTAGCTTTTTTATCGGGACATGAGCAGAGTCCATCATTAAATAAAGTTGGCGACCTCAGTTCAATTCCACGTGGTAGACTTATCTTTCATCGCGGAGTTTTACTAGCAAGTCATTTTTACTTGTAGATTCTCATTCTTGTTCATTGATTCAGTGAGATTAAATGCTATAAGCGAACATAGAAAGCATAAAAAGGTTTGTTCCAGAGTTTTAATTTTGATTTGAACGAACACAACAATAATTTTGCAAGGGCACTGAATCAATAAGCTTCAAAGTTCAAGCTTCAAGAAAATAATAAACGACAAATACTGAAGAGCAAAAAGAATACCAATTCTCGAATAGATTCATGAGGAAAAATCGGCCTAACTTACCATATGAGTCAAGCGTTTCTCAATGAACTCTTTTAAGAGTCATACTCTGTAAGATTCAAACATAGACCGGCCAGGCTACCTCACGGATTTTGCTCAAATTTCAGGTACACCTATTTCAAAAAACGTTGTCATCGCCAAAAGCGATAGGCGATAGGTCATTCCGACATGGAAATGGTTTCGCTTAAATACAAAGAACATTGAATCTGTCTCAACACTAAGGTGCATGGTCTTGACGAGAATAAGAAGCAGAAACAAAAGTCATTCGAGCTATTCTTGGATCTTGGAATGACCTATCTCATATTGGTTTTTCTCTATCACTTATATATCGTCTATCGCCTTTGGCGATGACAACGTTTTTTTTGAAATAGGTGTATAAACTTGGTTTGGGGTCCTAAATGCAATATGGATAATTGTTTGCGCAAAAATATTTTACGACAAGTTTCTTCCATCGGATTCATTTACAACGGGCAAGTTTGGGCAATTTCATTTTGTTGGGTTGTGGCAAGGTCATTTAAAATCTACAAAGTAGTGTGACATGCACAACACAGCACTGTTTATTTGTGTTCCACCGCTTATAAGTAGAAGATTTGTAGAAAAGCTCGTCTCTTATTTCGACGAGTAAATAAAATTTGTTCTGAGTGAAACAAACTCACTAAGTGCTGAGTGATCAATTTGGTCCTGTTTCGATATGATTCCATCGTCAGATTTTTAAAAAATATTTCTCTAAAGTTAGATATTACGAAGTATTTTCAAAAAATAAAATAAAACGGGGGTGCACAACTTCGTTTTAGAGCTATAAGACATTAAAGACGTTATTTTTTTATGAGATTTTGCTTATTGAAATACCGTCATCACGATGAGTGTGCGCTCTCCAATTGATCATGCGTAGAAGGGATGCGCGCAAACAAAGCCCATGAACGTCCTTAAGAAGTTCAAAATTGTGTAACGCAGCCCATGTCTTTTATTAAACCCCACCTCCCTCTAATTCACATTCTCTAGCTATAATTTAAATTCGACCATGCGCATTACACCACATTTCAGTAGGTGTCCCACATCAGCTGTTCCGTATTTATTCCAGCAGGCGATGTACTAACATAACAGCGCTCTGATGTTCCGAAGCTGTTCCACCCGCCAGGCAACCCAGTATACGCTCTCAGAGCGTCTTGTTCCGATAGTGTATGCAGTTAGTCTTACTTTCTTTTACTTACTTGGTCCACATGCATGACAATCCTGACCAAACGCAACAAGCACAAACACAAGGGTCAAGAGAGGAAGACAGTTCTTATTCATGGTGATATGGTCAATCTGACTGGTTTTGGACGACTGTCTTGCTTGAACGTGACTATAGAGACGGCGTCAAGAGCTCCAAGTGAACGACAATCTCAAAATGTCCTTCGGATGGACAACACACACACATATATATACGAACACCTCTAAGTATGGGCTCCGATTGCTTACCAGAGTATTTGCTCCTTGACCTCATTTCAGTTCTTTGTTATTTTCAAAAGTATTTTGTTTCCTTATCAGCCTTCTGTCTTTGGACCATTCAGTTGATCCCGGTATTATCTGACTAGAAATGCCTCCAAGCTTATCGAGCCCGGAGCATCCTTTAATCGAGCAGCAGTTAGGCGGAGTCGCGAAGCGCCGACAAAGCCAAAAATTGAAAGTCGAAAAACACCAGGGGGGGGTGGGGTTTTGGAGGTCGGTTAACCGCCCTACAGGGGGTCTTGCGCGATCGGCCGACAGCGCGAAAGGTTCCTAACTGCTGCTCTGTTGGGGTCGCAAACGGAGGGTAAAATATTCTTTAGATATACATGGCATCCGTCAACGACATTCAAAACGAAACTGTGCGCAGGCTGGGAAATCAGGTGATGGATAGCTCAGATGCGGATTTTGTCTTTGCGACGTTTATGGAGGGAAAGACAGACAAGACGATGAATCACGAGATGGCTGAAAAGATAATCGACAGAATGCCGGACGGCGACTACCGCTTGGAGTTGACGTTCGTGAAGTATTTGGACGGCGAGTGGGTGATAGAAAAGGGCCGTAATCCCATCAGGGCGTCTGGTAAGCAGAGTTTGTTCGTCTTGAATAAGCAAACGAGGCCGGGGGCATTGGAGGGAATTGACATGCTCTTCTATGAGGTCGCTTACCCGGTTACCATTGTCATTTACGGCGCGTACGAGATCGAGGAGCCTGATGTTAGGAAGTTGCGACCGATGCGACATCCGGGTAATTGCGTCGCGAAATTGGTCAAAGAGTTCTTCGAAGACGCTGCTCGTGGTGGTAAGCTTACGCCAAAGAGAAGCGAAGCCATCAGGAAATGGGAAAGAGATACTAATAAAACCGGAGGTACCATCAAGAACATTCAGAAATTAGAGACGGCTCTAGAACGCCGCATACACGTGAAGGATATCACGGGCGGTTGCATTTACGAAGGGACGAAAAAATATGGAGGTAGAGGTGCCCCTATTGTCATCTACCAACACAATGGACACGCTTGGCGAGAACTTAGGTTCCC